TTCCCCCAAAATAAATAATATTACAGGCATAAATGATGGTGACAGAAGAGTTTAAGTATTTGTGTAAACTAGCTATCTGTATAAAGACACTTAAACATATAAACACAGATATTTAAATAGATATATAAAATCATACATCTAAAAAAACTTTTATATAAATAATCTCTATCTCCATCTCCAAAAGACAGAAAATTACCTAGAATTAAAGAATGAACCTCTCAAACTTTTTTTAATAGCTGCAAAATATGCAGACCACATTCAACACTTTTAGGGCTTTTGTGGATACTTAAAATCATTTACCAGTTAAGAAAATACAGGAAAGAATTAAAAATCCATTTCCTTGTGATCACAAGTAAAATGAGCCCCAAGGGCTGATTCAGGTTTCTACAAGGAAAAAGACAATACGAAAACGCTGAGTTGGCACAAAAGTGCGTATTCCTGACTTGTTCCTTCTTGGCAAGAGCCGGTCAAAAGGCAGCTGGTGTGATTTTACAGAAACCATCCCCAAAATAAACGTGCAATGCACCCCTCCTGTGAGAAATACTGAAAGAAAAAAAAAGAAGTTAGAATGTCTAAAATCAGGAACAGCACTTGAAAACAGCCCTTAATCTAAAAGAACACAAGTATAAAATCTGGAAATGTATTTCTTACACACCGTAACAACCTGTAAAAGGCTGACTAAGAGAACATATCAGTTGTCTGCCTAACCTCGCAGTCCTGTAAAACAAGCACATGACAAGAAGCCCCACGGGACAGGATGCAGACGTGTTGTTGCGGGGGAAGAAAGGCAGAGCAGCACTGCCCAAACCGCACAGCTCAGAGCCCATCGCATCGCACTCACAGGGCGTCAGCCCCAATGGGGCCCTCACTAAGTCAGTGTCTGATAGAAGATGCTTGCTGGTTTTAAACCAATTGTTGCTTCCCTTATGAGTGAAAACACAAGAAATTAAAAAATAGATGTTGGGAAGACAAGCAAGGCCATCCAGACAACATTATGAACAGAGGGGGAGGGAGGTGCAAAAAAAAGTCACTGTGGCAGTGGTGTAGCCTTGAAAGAGGTATCCAAAGAACCTGCTGAAACTCCATCCTTGGAGACTTGGAGGTTGGAGTAGACACCCCAGAGGTTCCTTCCAACCTCTATCCTCTGACCCTACAGCAAATTTCACTTCTAACCTTGTACAAATTGTATGATCATTTAGTAACTTCCTCACATTCTTATTCATAAGATTTTTCCAAAATAATACTTTTATAGATTGTCTATATACTATGTTTGTTTATATGTATGATTAAATATATATATTTATGTGTATATGAATAAATATATGTTCATAAATACATACACACACAATTACACGCACAGTTCTAGCCACCAATAAAACTAGAGTTCCTGTGCGATGAAACACATTATCAGTTGCTGATCTCAAGAGCAGACAGTTAAAGGAAGCAGAAACTGTCTAAAGAAAACGATAGAAGTTGTTGAGTTCTTCAGGTCTGTGGTTCTATAGAAACAGAATCAGTTGTCACAAAAAGCATGCTACAGTGGTGAGAAAAAGAAGGAATAAAAACCTTCTGAATATTTGCATTGTTGGGAATTTATTAGGAGAAACATCTTATTTTGAAACTTCCTGGATTCATAGTCAAATATCATCAGTCAGTACATTATTTGAGACAGTAATCTCAGCCAAACTGTTCTTCTCTTCCTGCATAGTATTACCAGACATAGGTATTAGCAAGTAACTCGCCACATTTCTGTTCCAATAGCAGGTCTGGGATGTACAAAAGGTAGCAGTAGAAAATGGTTTTTTGCCATCATTTTCTGATAAAGAAACACTTTGTGCCATAATTTTGCATATCATGTTTAATGTCTTATTGGTTCAGATACTCTCAACCTTATTAGCAAAATTCTAGTTTCATTGGATTCAAATGTTTGTACCCAGAAAGCAGGCTCACTGATGAGTGTGGGAGGACATTAAAGTTAAAAGGAGCAGGGAGGACCCAGGTGGTGGTAATGTTGCCTCTATTCTTCCTTCTTTCATCCTCCTATTTTACTGGCATTTAAAATTTCTAGACGTGCCTCCATACACAAAAGAATATGCTGAAACAGACCAAAAGCCCATAGCCCAGAACACAGTCTCCAAGTACAGTATCTGCCAATATCTCCTGAACACTTGATTTAAATTTTCTAGTAGATGGGCTTTCTTATTCTTTACAGTAAATGGATTTTTGGAACAAGGAGGTGGCAGAATTTGTTTTATCCACTTTTCATCAACCATGTATTGCAGCAGCCCAGGAAGAGGTACCAGTAACACATCTGTCTTTCAGGCTGAAGACCTGTCAATTAGTCACTTCTTTATGAAAGCCATGCTGTAAGTTGAACAGCACTGGGTCCAACACAGATTTCTACGGGACTTTATTGGTGACCCTTCACTATTTAAAACAAAACAAAATAAAAAAATCCCCCAAACTTACCAACCAAATAAAAAAGTCCAGAACAAATGCTTTCTAGCTTCTATTCAGTTATTTATAAATGCAAGAAATTTCCATCTTATTTCACAGTTGTTTAGGAACTCATCAAAAGCATCTGGAAATAACTTTTTATCCATATAATTATGACCTTCAAAGAACTCAAATAGGTTTGTAAGACACGTCATCCTTGACAAAAGCCAAGTTGACTTTCTCAATAGATCATGCCTACCCATCTTTCCCTTACCACAGTTTGTAAATAACATGGCTGAAAGAGATCCAAGGCTTGCCAGCACACAGTTCTCTAGTTCTCCTCTGGGACTCCACTAAAAAAAAGGTGTATTTGCCACCTTCTGGTCTTCAGGTCCAAAAATTGTTTCATACCTGAAATTTAGCCTTTGCACCATTTTAGTGGAGAGTTGAAGCTTAATTTCAGTCTACCATTACAGCCTCACCTATCATCAAAATGTTCATTAAAGGTCATTACCAAAATTAAAATAAAAAACTAAGTAATGTTTTCCCTAAAGTTGTATAGCCTCTAATCTTACAATGAAGTGTAATGAATGTCTATCACTATAGGTTTTTCATTTTTTTAATTTTTTTTTTTTACTTCAATCACTTAAATGGTGTTCCCTCTTAAGAGAGGGAGTTAACAACTTCATTGCAAAACTGCCTTTGGAGAAGTTTTTTTACATTTGCTGTGTGAGTTGGATAGATGCTCTGTAACATTTTTGCCATAATTTAGATTTAAATGTGTACAAAGAAATTAAACACCTGCCAGCAGATACTACAACAGTGCAATACAACCCCAGCTTCAGAAGGCAATTATCTCAGAGGTTATGTCACTGGTGCGTTGTGATTCTTTTGGTTTGGATATATTTTGCCATTTCAACATCCAAATATTCAAATCAAAAAGGGTCTGTCGTTGTAGCAAAATCTATTCATCTATTTACAATTCTTCATTTCTAGAATCGTCATCCACACACATCTATAATGTCTACTGTTCAACAACTGTAATCTCTTATTTCCTCTGACATCTTGTAACAAAGAAATGGCACAAGTCCAAAATAATTAATTGAAATTATTTAATTCTTCCCATGGAAAAGCAACTAAAATGGTCCTTTTGGACCTATGGTCTACAGACTGCTTATAAGGGGTGAATATACGTAACTAAGAAAAACAAGGCTAGTGTCAGGCTTAAACTTACAATAAAAAGGCCTTGCATTTGCATTTGAGCTTTTTGAGAGCCATCATAAGATTCATATTTTAGATTCAGCACTTATAACTAGAGTTGGTGAAATACTGGCCAGGACACGCTGATGTGAAATGAATGCATGGGAGAGACCGAGCCCTGCTTTCTTCACAGCTCTTTGCTACCATATCGCACAAACCTGTTGGAATGAAATAAACCTGCCGAAGCCAAGCTCAGGCGAAGCAGAGGAGAGGACTCTTGAGGAGTCAGTAGCATCCACGGCTCCATCCTGAGCCCTTTGCCAGATGGCACATAGAATCACAGATTATTCTGAGTTGCAAGGGACCCACAGGGATCATTGGAGTTCAACTCCTAAGTGAACGGCCAAATACAGGGGATTGAACATGTGACCTTAGCACCAAGCTTTAACCAACTGAATTAATCTCACCCATAAGCGGGTATCCTGTTTCTCTCACCAGCTGGTCACTCACTCACAGGAAAGCCCACCCTGCAGTGAACATGCAGCTAAACCAAGTATTTGCATTAGGCCAGGACAATCAGACCTGCTGTGCTACACTGGCTTTACAGCTGCACTGAACCATTGCCTGTAAACTAGAATCACCTCATCAAACAGTATCTAATCCTTAGTTTACAACTGCTTACGTCATCTGGCACTGGTTTCATAACTGTAAATGTAACTTGCAAATGAAAATTGTCCCAACAACTAAGCATCCCGGAACAAACAGTCTCACTTCAGAATAACGTTAACGCACCTCTGTAATCACCATTTCTAGCTCACTCCAGGTGATAATAAAACAATCTACTTTATACTGTGTGGCACAAGACATTCGAATACAATGAACAGCTGAAGTCTGGGAAGTGTAATATCAGTAAAGCTGGGAGTGACTGGAAAAGAACGCTGCTGCCTACGGTGACTAACACAGGGGACAGCAGCAGGAGAAACACGGCAGCATGCCGTTGCTTGAAGGCTGAAACCACACTACCGGGCTACTGGGGGAAATCAACAGACTGGCACACGCACCACCAACACCCTACGTGTGCTGCCTCGCGGAGGTGAGCCAGTCAGTCACCGACGGACTTAACTCTGAGAGCGAACGCTGTGATCTGACAGCGTTTGGGAGGGGAAAGAAAGTTTCAAAACCCTCCACATTCCTGAGCAAGATGCAGCCGAGAGAGACGCGGTTACCCCGCGCTGGCCGCTGCCAGCAGACGCTCCGGTTTGGCAGAGCGGCTCTGGCAGCCACACCTGCGGCAGGCACGGCTCCTCTGCCCCGGCCCCAAGCGCCCTGGGGGCCGCAGGGGGCCGGAGCCCGCCGGTACTCACAGCGGGTGCCAGCGCTCGGGCAGGCGGCGGTGCAGCGAGATGCGGTCGCTCAGGTAGATGTTGATCTGGTGCCGACGGATGCTCTCCTCCTGGCGGCGCTTCTCGGCCGGGCTCAGCTCCAGCCGCACCGCCCGGCCCAGCTCCCCCAGCGCCCCCGGGTCCAGGGCAGGCTTGGCGTACACCGGCCGCCGCAGCAGCTCGGTGTCGGGGGACGGCGGCAGCGGCGGGGCGCGGCGGGCGGCGTGGCGGGGCGGCGGGCCGTGCCACCACACGAGGAAGCCGAGGGCGGCCAGGAGCCCCAGGGCAAGCAGGGCGCCCTCGCCCCGGCAACCCCGGCCGCGCTTGCCGCAGCACATCCCGCGGCCGAGGCGGCCGGCCATGCCGAGCGGGCGGTGGGTGCCTCTCACGGACGCGGACACGGGCGCACCCCCGCCCAGGGCGGACTCGGCGAAGTTCTCACGGACCTGCCCAAGCCGCGACACCCGCCCGCCGCCAGCGCTGCCTCCGCCAGGAAACCCGCCCGGCTCCTTCGCCGGCGGCTCCTCCTTCCTCCCCGCCCCGCTGTCGGCCAGCCCGCAGGGGCGCGGCGCAAAAGAGCCGGGCACGGGCGCTGCCGCGGGGCGGGGAACGGTCCCCCGGGACAGGGAGCCCGAGCCGCGGACCGGGCAGGGGCGCTGCGCCCCTCCCGCCACTCAGCCATCTTACTAGGAGCGATGCCTCTCGGTTTCCTCGTGGTCGGAAGGCTGCTCGGCCACCGAGGGTTCCAGCACCCCAGGGAAGGCGCACGGCTCCAGCCCGGTCCGGGCTCACCCTGGGGATCCAACCTATGGAACTGGAAATGGTCCTAACGCAGGCCAGGGCAGGGAGGCATCCCAGTTCTGCTGGTTCATGTACAGCTGGGATGTGGGGAGGAGGGAGGAAGGCATATTCCGTTCACACACTTCCTATCGCCCTTCAAAAAAAAGGTGATCTGGTCACCCTGAAGCTATAGGGACCTTCATAAACACTGGTAGCTGCATGGCAGATAGTCAGGGGTACGCCAACAAGGGAAAATTCAGCTAGCATAGAGCTGCCGGGGCAAGCTGCTTTGGCCATTGGAAGTGACAGCCCTAAGGATTGCTCTGTCCTGACAGAAATAGCCAGGGCTGCAGGAGAACAGCAAGGGACTAGGAAGAGCTTTGGGGCTGAAGGAAACAAATCAATAGGAAACCAGGCTTCAACCATTCTTCTGCCTCTAGAATAGCATGTCCTTTAGTAGAGCAAAACATGAACCAAAAAGCCACAGCCATTAATGACAAGCTCTTTTGCTTAAAAAGGAATGGTCTTGGTTGAAAAATGAAGTCAACCAAAGTGGCCTCATTGAGAGAAATCCAGAAGACAAACAAAAATCCCAGATTTATTATCCAGATAATGGGCAGTCCAATCCATGGCTTGACAGAATTATGGGGCAAAAAAGCAACAGTCATTAGTCAATATCTTCATATGTAATTCATACTCAACAACATATTTGTATGGCTTTTTTTACTTCAGCCCCCAATAGGATACAGCCCCGCCTGTTTAAACTTGTGATCTGGAGGCCATGAGATTACATGAAAATTTCCCATTTTGCATTTGAAATACCTTATTATAAATGTAACATCATCATCATCATCATCATGGCTAGGCTTCGCAAACAAAGATTTGGGAAGGGCTCTACCGACGTTTGTTGCAAGCGCGTTGCTGGCTAAAAAGGCCAATACGAGATAGACATATCCGATTGCAAAAGGCACAGCAGAAAGACTCCTTAGATGGTATATTCTGCAAGGCACGATTCTTTCTGCATTGCCTTTTCTCCTCAAGGGTGATCCTGTGTGCTTTCTCAAAAGCATCAGCAGCGTTATAGATGGTGTGTCTCCAGGCCTCCCGATTGGAGGCCAGAGTAGACCAGTTATGGTGATCAATATGGCCAAGGCTGAGATGTTGTTTCAGGGAGTCCTTGTATCTTTTCTTTGGGGCTCCTCTCTTGCGGCAGCCAGTGGCAAGTTCACCATAAAGCAGGATCTTAGGGAGGCAGTGGTCCTTCATCCTTGAGACGTGCCCTGCCCTGTTCTCAGTAACATGGCCTCAGTGACTGCTGCTTGTTCAAGAACAGATGTATTGGTCACATAATCTGACCAGTGGATGTTTAGGATTGAACAGAGGCAGTGTTGATGGAAGTGTTCTAGGAGACGCAGGTGGTGGCGGTAGATGACCCATGATTCAGATCCGTATAAGAGAGTAGACAGCACTATGGCTCTGTAAACACTGATCTTTGTACTTTTCTTCAGGTGTTTATTTTGCCAAACTCTTTTATGAAGCTTTCTGAAAGCACTATATGCCTTTGCTAACCTGTTGTCTATCTCCCTGTCAATCTTACCATCCGAGGAAATGAGGCTACCTAGGTAATTGAACTGCTGGACTGATTTGAGTTCTGATTGGCCAATGGTGATGTGGGGATGATGGGGGACTTCCTGAGGTGCAGGCTGATGGAGAACTTCTGTCTTCTTTAAACTGACTTTCAGCCCAAAGAGCTCAGCAGCGTCTGCAAAGCAGGATGTTAAACGCTGCAGGGCTGCTTCTGTGTGAGCGACGAGGGCGGTGTCATCAGCATAAAGCAGCTCCCGGACAAGATGGTTTAAGGTCTTGGTGTGGGCCTTCAGTTGCCTTAGGTTGAATAGGATTCCATCAGTACGGTATCGAATGTAGATACCGTCCTGATCATCGAGGTCTGCCGTGGCCCTTTGGAGCATCCTGCTGAAAATAACTGTGAATAGGGTAGGAGCGAGAACGCAGCCTTGTTTCACGCCATTCTTTATTAGAAAGGGCTCAGAAAGTGCATTGCCATATCTGACTTGGCTGTGCTGATCCTCGTAGAGTGAGGTGATCATTTTAAGGAACTTGGGGGGACAACCTAAACGTTTCAAAATCTGCCATAGACCTTTTCTGCTCACAGTATCGAAAGCCTTGGTGAGGTCAACAAAGGTTACATAAAGACCTTTGTTCTGTTCCCTACACTTCTCTTGCAGTTGTCTGAGAATAAATACCATGTCTGTGGTGCTCCTGTTGGCTCTGAAACCACATTGGCTTTCAGGTAGAATTTCTTCTGCTATAGCGGGTATTAGTCTGTTCAAGAGTATTCTTGCCAGGATTTTGCCAGCAATGGAGAGCAGAGTAATACCACGGTAATTTGAGCAATTTGATTTAACTCCTTTCTTCTTATACAAAGTGATGATGACTGCATCACGAAGGTCTGATGGTAGTTCACCTAGTTCCCAACAGCGCACCACAAACTTGTGAAATTTGGTGTGGAGTGCAAGGCCCCCATGTTTCCAGATTTCAGGTGGAATTCCATCAATCCCAGCTGCCTTGCCGATTTTCACCTGCTGTATGGCCTTGAGGGTTTCTCCTAAATTGGGGGCAGTATCGAATTCATACTTTACCGGTTGCTGTGTGATGAACTGAATTGCTGAGTCTTGGACTACACGGTTGGTACTGAAAAGAGTCTGAAAGTGTTCAGACCAACGATTCAGAATGGAGGTTTTATCTGTTAGAAGCGTTTGACCATCTGCGCTGAGTAGAGGACTTTGTACCTGGTATGTAGGCCCGTATGCTGTTTTCAGGGCCTCATAGAATCCTCTGTGATCACCTGTATCTGCGCATAGTTGAGTTTTTACAGCTAGATCGATCCACCACTTGTTCTGGATGTCACGGAGTTTCTGTTGGAGCTTGCTGCATGCAAGACGAAAGGCTGTTTTTCTTGCGTGACAGGATGGCAGTGCAAGGTGTGCTTGGTGGGCGGTTCTCTTCTTCCTCAACAAGTCCTGGATTTCTTGATTGTTTTCATCAAACCAGTCCTTGTTCTTCTTGAGGGAGAACCCTAAGGATTCTTCGGAGGATTGCAGGATGCTGTTTTTAATATGGTGCCAAATTGATTCAGGGGAGGAATCTGCGGAATCCGTGGAATGGTTTTCGAGCCTAGTTTGAAGATTAGCCTGCAATCTGTCTCTTACTGTGGCTGATTGGAGATTGTTAACTTGGAGTCTTCTCCTTGGGATACTGCCCCTTTTAGGTTTGAATGTGAGATTGAAGTTGAGTTTACAGTGCACAAGCCGATGGTCTGTTTGGCATTCTGCACTGGGCATCACGTGGGTATGGAGGACATCGCGAACTGAAGATACATGGTAACACAGTGGAGGAAGGATATGGTCAGGGTGAAAAGTGGGGTTCCTTTAGAGTAATGGGGGTCCCAGCCAGGCTGGGGCCTTGAAAGGCACCCCAGCCTTGGATGTGTATGGGGGCCAGAACGGTTGGTCGGTTTGTTTGTCTATTTGTTTTTGGCTCACCTGTGGCTACTGCCCAGGTTCGGCATGTTCTGGAAATGTAACATAACTGGATAAAGTCATTAAGAATCAATCAGTTACATTCACAAATAGGTTTGGACAAGATGTAAAGAATATGAAAGCAAAGACACATTTTCTTAAACCTTTTCAAAAGTTTGTGGGGTTTAATTGTGTTGAGAAAACAGAAATTTCTGAGCTGAAATACTTAAAAATATAAAAATAAGCCCCAGGAGAAAAAAAAATCTACAATTAAGGCAAATGAGTTTACTGCAATCCATAAAGCTTGTAGCAAAATTTTCATGGAAAAGTTCCTTTTAAGGCATTCTGTTGTTTCTTTTAGGTTTAATAACAATGGAAGTTAAAACAATTTGTTCTGATTTTTTTTAATATTAGTGTTTAGCGAGCCATAATTTCAGTTGCTTCAGAAGTTTTAGTCAGAGATAAGTAGAGTAACCAAACAAGTCATATAAAAACCATAATTACTTATCTAGAAAGATTCATTGTGCTCTCCATTGTCTAAATCAAAACAGAACAGTGAAATAATTAATATATTTTAAAAGTTTATTTTTAAAAAGTGAATTTTTATTTTTTCACCCCCAAAACAATCAAGATATTAACCAAACCTTTCAAAAAGCACTAAGAGAAGAAAATTAAGCACAACAATATGTAGTTGTCCATAAGAATTTACATTATAGTGAATGTAATAGCTCAAATTAAGGATGTATCTTGCTTTCTGAAATATCTATTTGAATTGCAGCCAGTAATTAAGTCACCTAAAATACAGGGGCTGATTGAGGGAGATGGTCTACATACAAGGAACACTTAAAGCAATAAGTTAAGATGAACTATTTTACATGTGTATAATTATTAAAAGTTATTTTGTAGCAATGATATACACAGAAAAAAATAGAGCTATTAAATTTTGCAAAAGCTTTAAAATTTACTTCATCCAATGTTTTGGGGTTTTTTTTTAGATCTGTATTTTTGCTTTGTCAAAACGAAGCAAAATTCTGAAGTGGAAATGGGGTGGGGAAAAGTGTCAGCTACTAAGGACTGCATTTTTATTAAGTTCCAACAGCTTCCTAAATTCATACTTTCAGGGTAAAAAGAAAATATCAAATAACGTATTTCAGAATA